TAAACAAGACATATACAAACTTTATGGCGACATCGATATCATTATATACCATATATATTTTATACGGTCTCCGACGTTTCCTTCTCCGTGTTACAAACTTCTTGGCAAACTTACCCTGTTTAGGGTATAACTAGCAAAAAATTAAATACAAAAGAAATGGAGAAATTTGGCTTAAAATCCAAGAAACTTTCTTTAGGCTATCAAGTGCTACAGTTGAGAGTCTCTCGAAGAACGATGACTGTATTTTATAAATGCTGTCCAATGGAAAGTTCTGCTTTTATGAAAAAATAAAACAATCACCGCTAAGGTCCGTAATTGATTGTGTGTGTCTTGAGTACAAATTTGGTGCGAAGCAATATCTCAAATGATACGAATTTTTCCTACAGCTGGCAACTCTGCCAAGATCTATTAGTATTCATATATTACAGAAAACCTCCCGTGGCACCCAAAAATCGTTCGGAGATGACTTACAATTTGTAGGACTCCTATTTTGTTAACCTACGCATATATTAAAGGCCACTAATTTTATTTTATTATATATATATATACCTATATATATATACCTATATATATATCGACTTGAAATATAGGTATATATATATATATATATATAAGATTTGCATTAATCGGATGGTATATATAAATATGTATAAACAGATAATATAAGTTGATAAATATTTTTTTAAATGTACGTGCAGTTATACTTAACTATGCGGCATACTTATCTACTCAACTGTTCCTTTTATCACAATGGTAATTGCAGTATAATTTTACCATAAACCCTAAAAAGACAAGCCTCAGTATCCTATAAATATGTACTATTATGTATATACATATGTTAGGTAGGCATTTATGATTATTTTACCCGACCCTAGTCGCCTTCGAAAGAACGTTCAGGGTGTGTTTTCTTTTCAAACAAAATTACTACGTATATATGCTTGTGAATATGTGCACAGACATACATATACACAATATATACGTTCGATAGAGCATATAGGGGAGTAAGCAAAGATGGGTTTCAGCTCAGCTGGCTTGAGTGCGGTGCTATCGCTAAGGGATATCAGAATCAAGCATGGTATTTATATGGGCTCGTTGCTACTTCTGTCGTCGTCATTGTCCTCATTTGGATAACTTTTGAAAGCAAAGTTATTATCGCAAGAGTATCGTCAGTTATGCCTTCTCTGTTCTTCATTGCTTTTAGTTTGAAAGTGTGAATTTCAATTTTATATAATGGCGTTGTAGAGGAAGATTTTATTTTTGGGTTTACGACAGTCGTTCATAATTTTGCGAATGTAACTGCGCATTAGCAACGAATACATATTATAACTTTGAATACATATATAAACTTCTGTAGTTTTAGGTTAGGTTTTGATTAGGGGTAAACACTTGTAAAAAGACATTTTTAAAAGTACTATTTATTGAGCTACATTTTCTGAAAACGCAAGTGAGCGGTCTTTTCAAATTAGTTTCTCATCATACCACCACTATTGTAAAGCTTTATCACATGATCCACATAATAACCTGGATCAATTATTCGTCAGATTATATCGACTTGTGAGTTTCAAAAAATCGATTTTTATACATACTTATATTCTCCGAAATTGAAGTTGATCCGGCATATAGTTTCGGAGATATTATCGTATTTGTAAGAATTTCTTAAGTTAGTGTAATCGGCTCCCAAAACTTTAAACGTGTTTTTCTCAAAACGCTGTTTTCAGAGCCTGTGAGGAAATCTTCTCCGGAAACGGCTGTGTCGATCGACTTGAAATTTCCACACGACCTTCTTAGATATATTTGTCAGGTAATGATCGAAGTAATAATATTTTTGATAAACATTTCGATCTTTTAAACCACTCTGATGTCAATATTATCACACAAAAAAGACTCATTTTTTTGGAAAACCGCCATTTTGTCAAAAATCTAAATTTTGACTACTACTTCCATCATTATTTAGTCATACTGACCATTTTGATATTTGATATGTACAAGTATATAAATTTCTCTCGATTAGTTGTACTATGCACTAATGTGCTCTCAGCAACATGCTAGTATATAAATAGTGAATTTTTAGATGAACTCGTAAAGGCAACCCTATGTTTGATATATATAAATATATATATACTTGTATATATTTATCCTACATAAATTCATCTTAAACCTTTTTATTTTGTTGTTCACTTTTTAATATTTCGTTTATTTATGAATTAATTCAAAAATTTTTAAATTAATTTAAAAATGTATGCAGGTGGCAACCCTTTTCAAACATATTTTTATACCCTGAACGTCGTATATTAAGTTTGGAGTTAAGGAAGTTTGTAACTTTTGCATACGTTCTTTTAACCGCTAAAGGCTGCATTTGTCGCATTTATCGGAATCGCCGATATCGGACAACTAAAGCATATAGCTGCCATACAAACTGACCCATCAAACTCAAATCCTTGTATGGAAAACTATTTATTGATTCGACAAGGTATTTTCACGAAATTTGGTGTACATTATTGTCCAAAATTTATAGATCGAATTACTATAACATTTAGCATTAGATAACAGAAAGAACTAGCAAAACGTTTCCCGTAGGTCCAAACCATGGGCCGCTTATGGTTTCAGTTTTATTTCCTTTTTTATTCGACACTGTATCTTCACGAAATTTGGCATACATTATTATCCAATACAAGTCATCGCTACAACCACCGAACAAATTATTGATATCGGACCACTATAGCATATAGCTGTCATACTAACTGACCGATTAAATTAATTATAGATAAAGATCTTATCATACCCTTTTAAGCTATAATAGATGCATCTGTAATAGGTTTATAGCTTTGATGCAGACGAAGTTAACGTATTTTCTTATTTTGAATAGCTCTCTGATATAATAGTTATATAATAGTTGTAATATTTCAAAGGAATCGATCGATTATAGTACTTTTGTTTACCACAAACCTATAAAGAACAGCTCAAGGTTGCAAGACAAGCTCAAAAAATGATTAAATTTCATATATGTTTTCCAAGAATCTGCTTTAAGACACCACAAAAGTCTCTACCTAGGTACCTAAAATAATTGCAATTACTGTATGTGCTCAGGGACTTCGAACATACATTTGAAGGGCAGTTAAAAATGTATGGTATTATCTACTTGCAAAACAAACATCTGTCATGTTAATTTTAGTATACTTTACTCAATTCAATTATTACAAACAAAAACCCTCATTAAAGCGATTGTATCTTTCCAAAGCTATTCTTCGTTCAAAATTCTTCGCTATAGAAACATAATTCAGTAAAATCAATTTATTAAATTAAGTAAAAGTACATGCAAACATACATATACCACAGATATTTATATAAGCGGCCCCTTTTTCGAATGTTGAAAACTGCCGAAGAAGAAAGGCATCATTTGTTATCGGCCATCAAAAGAGAGATAGATGGACGAGATTAACATCAAACAAGTAGAACTAATGAATTCACTTGGAGAATCTGAGTTAATACCATTACAAATATACATATATATAAATGTATATATGTATATACGTACGTAAAAGTTTCTACACAAACATTTTTGAGATTCACAAAAACAACATTCAGCTTACCACCAGCGTCACCAACTCACCATTGCACAGAATGGTAATTCAACCTGACAACTTTCCACCCTCACAAAAGGTTGGTTCAATGCATGGACGACGGGTATACAAATGAATCGTAAATAGACCCTTCGTTGCCGCCAACCGACCCGATAAACTGTATGCACAACCTACAATGGTTGAAAGAAACTTTTGGTTTTAGTGCTCACAAGGACTTTTCTATGAATTTCCGGGCTTCAGCTGACCAGTTGTGGATGAAACTTAATATCTATATATAAAATGAGTGACTGAAGGGTGCGCTAAAACCCGTAGGAAATTAAGGTAGTAATGGTAGGGTATAAAATAAATGAGAACCCATAAATGAAAATAAATGAGAACCCACCATCGAGTTACCTAGCAGCTGTGTATCTACCTACTGTATAAGTACATACGACCACATGGGTATAAGGCAAAGTTGTTATATAGAAAATATCTCAAGTTACCTTGGAAAGTTTGGTAACCAGCGAGCTGTGAGTTCATAGCACATACATATGTACGTAAGGTACGTAAGGATTGAGTAGCATGTCGGAGTTGTATTGTAGTTTTAATGAATGTAAGGTAGTTTGACTTCCAGTGAATTATTCAGCTTGCTTTATATGCATTTTTAGTGGTTCTGAGGCCTGGCTATAGTTAGAGGTAAAAGTGTTTTTTGTATAAGCATGCCAGTTATCTGGAAGAAGACGATAATCATACAGAAAAGTTGAAAGACGTTACAAATTGTTCCTTCAGATTTGTTGAGTACTGAGAGTAGTAGAGAAAATTTTGACTAAATGGAGTTGAGATGTAACTTGAAATATAGGGATTAACATAACTATGATAAATAAAAGAAGTCGTTTTAAGTCTTTCTTAAGTATACAATTTTCAGCGTACAGAGTTCTAATAATTAAGAGAAACTGTTCATAAACTCTCACTAAGCTAAACTCATTATATTTCGACGCAGTATTGTCTTCAAACCAGAAGCCAACGTCAAATAAACATTTTTGTGGGCTTTAAAGAAGAAGGCGTCATTGGACCACGGGAGGGGAGTCAATATCATGAAATAAAGTGCACCGCGGCTCCCTACGAAGCGGTCATCTGCGGAATTGAATATAAATAATATTAAAAGTTCGACGTTCACAACTCATCGTTTATGTGAGGTGCTTTTGCCCAAGTGGAATAAGATTAACAGCGTAACGAGTTGAGTCGCCTGTATATCACTCAGTTTTTGAGATATCGACTTGAAATTTTGCATACATCGTTTTCTACCCCAAAAGCAGCTCATTTGTTAGAACCATCGATATTGGACACCTATAGAATATAACAAACTAATCGATCAAATTCAAGTCCCTGTATGGAAAACTTTTTTATTTGACAAGGTAACTTGACGAAATTTCGCATAGATTATTCAAGGCAACGCTACAATCTCAGATCTTTTTATTTTAGTCATTTTGTATGTTATAAAAAATCAGGTGTAAGGGTATTACAAGTATAGCTTCGGTTAACGTTTTTCATTGTTTTGAAGATCTAAACTATCGAAACATGAAAAAAAAACACGATTTTTTTTTAGTTTCTAGACAGTATCAGTTCAGATTATAGTTTTGAAAATTATGTAAACCAACAGACAAAATAGTTATATATCATAATATTTAGGTTATTTTTTTTGAGATGATTATTATGTGAGAAAAAAAATTAAATTAATTTTCCAAGCGAATTTACTTCATTATTTTAAAATAATTAACTAAATAAAATTAAAAATATGACTAATTCAGAGCAAACCCAACATTGTAATTACATAAGAATATTGCTAAATTAATGCTTCTCCATAAATACAAAGCTTTTTTCTATATCTAATAATGTACATTTGTGTGTGTGGTGGTGTTGTAATTGCTTAGTACAGAGCCTTTTTTTTGCATATAAGCTCAATTTATCCGCATAAATATCACTTTGAATATTTATAAATCAAAAAATATATACAAGTACTCAACGCGTACTACAAACAAATATTTACAAGCATGCTTTCACTATACTATTTTTAGTTAATGGCGTAACTCTAAAACAAGTCAACAGGTCCGCCTAAGGCCACTTCTTATAGGAAACATAATTTTACATTCAGCTATATTCAGTTGTGCTCCTTCGGCGGTGGATGCTTGAAGATCTCTTCGAGCTGTGATATTAAACCGATCACACGATAGTTCTCTTCCAGCATCGCGAACTCTTCCAAGGGTTTCAACAGTTTCAGCGCCTCGGTGTAATTAGTCACGTGTTTGGGCAACTCCTCCTCGTCGCGGTCGCTATGCTCCGACCAATGTCCAGGACTATGTGCCGGTAGCTCGGCAATTTGTATGCCAATCGATTCGATCTTTTGTATTTTCAGGGGTTGGTGGGTGAAGCTCGCTTCGCTGCTCGGACGTTTGCGATGTAAGCTTGTTGTTTTTGTTACTTCCGGGATGTGCGTATTATTGGGTGGCAATGCTGCCGGCGACGCAGCTCTTAGTAACGGTGCGAGCGGTGGCACCAATTCACTTAAGCTCACGACTCTCAAAGCAGGCAGCTGAGCGCCATGCGCAGGTGTGACCTGCGCCGCGCGTTGTTGTTGCCCGGTTTGTATGGTCACTGGCGTGGCAGGTGGTGTTGGTGTTCTGCGGCGTTTATTAGTTTCAACCGCTGTTGTAGTTGTTGTTGTCGGCAATGGTGTCGTTGACACAAGCTCATTTATGTTTGGTTTCACATCCTCCTCATCCGCGTCCAGATCTATAATTTCTTCTTTGATTTTCGTTGTTGACGTAGTTGTTGTTGTAGTTGGTTTAGCGCATGTTGTTGTGGTTTGCGCGCCCGATGGTTTGCTAGACTCATCGCTGCGTCGCAAGTTGAAGGTGTGTATTTGCACTAGCGGAGTTGTTGTTGTTATAGCGGTTGTGGCAGTTGTTTGCTGCGCGGTTTCTTTCGGCGCCAGCGTTATCGTGCTGGGCGCCTGTTTCTTATTCTCCTGCCTACTGCAGTAGCTCAGTATGTCCTTCAAGTCGAGCGAAAGTGGCGGCGCACGCGGATCCTGCGCTTGCTTCAGCATTGTCGGATATATGACCGTTATGTACTGTGTCAACCACTCTTTATCCGGATAGAAATTGTCGATTTTCAGCATCTCTTTCAATTCGAAAGCGACTTTGCGCAACGAATTCTCATTCATACGCATCTTGTGGTGATGTCTGGCGCGCTGCCAATACTCGAAGAGCGTCTTCTTGAGGAAGTTGATCTTGCGCAAGCGCCGCTGTTTCATCTCCTGCAAAGCGGCTTCATTCTCGCCCGAGATGGCGATGCGCGTGGCGGTGCGATATAAATCCGACTCTCTATCCTCCATTGCGCTTGGGCTGGACGCCTCCGCTTTCGCTTTATTCTTCGTGCAATAGGTCATGATATCCTTGAGATCCAGCGAAGTGGGCGGTGTGCGTGTAATCGTTATTTGGCGATTTGACAGCGAAAAATTATAGGTTGCTTTGAAGTGATTGATCCACGCCTTGTTCGGCATGAAATTATCGATTTGTATAATATCGCGAAATTCGATGGCTTTCATGCGCAACAACTCTTCCGTTATGTGTGCCTTCGTGTGAAATTGTGCACGCTGTATGTACTCGTAGAGGCACTCGCCAAGAAATCGTATTTTACGCGAACGTACCTCAAGGCGATTTGAATCGTTTTGCGTTTCAGCGCTTCGTGTGGCCATATAGAATTCCATTATAGCATCACGATTGGCGATTATATTCTTGATTTGCTCCCAACTGCAATTGAACATTTTCGCCACTTTCGTGTACATGGGCCGACAATCGTAGGCCTCTATGGCGGCGACGCGCTCCTCCAGCGTCAATATGTTGCGTATGCGTTGCGGACTCGGTTCCAGCACGGTTTGATCGATGTCGATGTAGTCCTTGGCACTCTGAAATGTTACAATTTGCTCGTTAATCAACTGTTTTGATATTGGAGTTTGTAGTAGAAATTTGAAAAACTGAAAGGGTATCATCGCAATTGTTGGTTCAAGGTAAAGACTAATGAAAGCTCGTGTGTCACTTTTTCGAAAATATTTGTCTTTGACAGTTTCATTTGACTTAAAAGCCCTAAAAATTTGAAGCATAATTCAAATAAACTTATGTCATTTTCGATTTTGAAATAAAACTAGATATTGAAATTTCTCTTGTGTTACATATTTTAGCCAATGATCGTGCTTAGGACAAAGCAACTGTCTACCAGCAGATTGCGGCCTTCACATCAGCGTTTGCGCCGTGAGGTCATCATAAGCACTCTCTAAAAAATCTTTAACAGCGTTAGAAAATTATGATGCCGGTAAAGCTTTCAACAGAGAAAAAATTTGTGTTTTCTATAAAAGAATATTTGCTTTCCAGTTCGAACGAGGTACTTGCAGGGTTTCATGTGCCACAGTGGCAGTTCATAACATATAACAGAATAATTAACTAATTGTCCTACATTTTCAGATAATTGATCAGTTAGTTTTTAATTAACAAAATATATACAAATTTGTTTCGTCCAGAATGGAAAGAAATTTGTTTTCTGCTAAATTGATATATCATTAATTAACACAAAAAAAATTTTACGTCGGTATGCTATAGTGGTCCGATTTGAACAATTTCTTTGGAGAAGATATTGCGTCAAATTTCGTGAAGATATTGCGTCACATAAAAAAATGATTTCATACAAGAACTTGATTTTGATCGTTTAGTTTATATGGCAGCTATACGCTATAGTGATCCAAAAAAGGCGGTCCCGACAAAGAATGAGCTTCTTGGAGAGAAAAGGACGTGAACAAAATTTCGGATCGATATCTCAAAAACCGAGGGACTATTTAGCGTATATACAAGCCGACAAACATGGCTAAATCGACCCTGCTCGTCATGCTGATCATTTCTACATATATATAATATGTATACTTTTGTTCAGGGTTATGTCGGAATAATAGTAATTACATTAACTCTCTTTTTTTCTTAGTTAAAAACCAAATTTAAATCAAAACTTGATTGTCTTTTTATTACAAGCTTATAAAATTAGATCTATTTTTAAGTTATTATGAATTTTCACAGAAATTTTTTTTATATAACTATACAAATATATTATATAGGTTTAATGTGCGAGATAGCTTTTGATTAAAGAAAACGGCTCAACGGTCATAAAAACTTAAAAAGTCGTTTCTGGAAAAATTGCTTATGATCCAAAAAGAAAATATACAAAAATATGCTTTTATCGGTTTATATCTCGAAAATTTGTAAATTTGATAAAAGACAAATGATAAATGATGTTTAGAAAATTAAATTTTCTGTCAGATGCAGGGTTGCAAATTTTTTAATTCAAAAACTTTTTATGAAAAATCAGATTTTCAATTCAATAATTATTTAATTTCAACGCGAGCATAAAAAAATTAGAATTCTAAATTCAAAAAAAAAATTTATTATAAACTTGAAATTAAATTTTTTTGTTTCAAACCGGTATTTGTCATAAAAATTTATTTTTACTTAAGATTTTCGGGATTTAAAAAAATTTATTCGGACGTTATTTTACTTATTTTCGTAATGAATTATTTGCAACCCTGCTCATATGCGCTATTAACTGTTTTGGTCGGTGCATTTGGTGTCCGGATTTAAAATTTTTAGGATATCTCTTATTTCTTTCGTTAAATATTATTAGATATCTCGAAAACCAGAGAGTAGAGAGTCACAAAAAAAATTTAATAAAATTCGTTGACCCGAAATATAAGTGAGATATAAGCATATAAAAAACTACTCCGCAGAAGAAATATATGTAAGTATATGGAGATTGGCCATTGTCTCCTGGTGTTAGAAAACCTTATTTCTCCTATACATATATTGTTTTAAAAGACCGCAGGATTCTGACCCATTCATTACAATATAAGTATACATATTGATATATAAATCTACATATGTACATATGTACTACATATATATAATGCAAATATAATATATAATAGAAATAATACCTTAAAACGATATAAAACCTCTACCCAAGCTTAGTCTAATTAAAAAAAGTATCTAGAGCGTTCACTCACCTTTTTCTTGCTGATCTCCGGTATCGACTTATTCCGTAGTGAAATTGTGTCCTGAAATATTCCAAATCGTATACGAAAATATGTAAAATTAGTAAATATTAAAATAATTAATTTGCATTAAAATTTCCAAAAGCGAAAGAAGTTCACTTGACCACACTCACCTTAGCCATGTTCGACGGCTGAAACTGTAATGATAAATGGCAAAGCCTGTTTTAGCGTAAAACAAAAACCGTTCAAACGTTCCCCGATTTGAAAACAAAAAAAAACGCACGTAAACAGCAACAACAATGATAATGTTAACTAAACACAAAAAACCAGAACACTTAAGAGCTCAGTGTCGTTAGAGTTAAAACCAGACTCACAGCGTAGAAAAAAACCGAACTCGCCCAACCGGTCCGCGATTCGCTGGCGCAAGCGGTAACCAGTTTTTTCCTTGTGCTGTTAGCCAAACGCGTATGCATCAACAACAACAACAGCAAAAAACGGCATGAGCAAGCGCGCTGTGCAGGCTCGTCGTGGTTAACCGGTTTTCTGCTAACGATATTTCCAGCGCTGCTCCACGTTGTGTGAGCGTGTGTATGTGTGTGTGACTGCGCGAGTGTCGGTTGTTGCTGCTGCAATCAGCCGTGTTGTTGTTGTGGCTATTTTGGCAGCTTGTTGTCGTTCGGTTAGTCAGGTGATGATTGCTTGCCAATGATTCACGCAAAGCAATGTGAGAAAACAACAATAACAGGCTGTAAATGCCCAAGCAACCGTTGCTGCTGCACTAAACTTCTTGAGCTTCAACTTCTCTACGTTGTTGTTGTATGGCAACGGCGACTAACTGCTGCGCTGGTGCGTAAATTAGCTAAACGCTTTCGTGAGTGCGAAATATCTTTTTTTGCTTTTGCGGATCTCGGCATACACTTTAATTGTATTTGTGTGTGTGTGTATTAGAAATTAAGTAAAACGCCGACGATCCAACACTTTTTTCGTTATCAACGCTGAAAGCTGCAAAACCATACTAAATTCTGTTCAGCACTTCTCGCAATGCTCGCTAATGTGCTCCTTACAATACCGCCAACAACTGCTAACGCCCGCGAAATGGAGCTGAAAAGCAAGCGCAAATGAGCGTCAAAGAGAAACACACACAGACAGCGCGCGATAGCACAAAAGAGAATGTTTGTATGTATGTGTGTGTGTGAGAGTCACGATTGTAGAGTCGTTTAGAAGCGGCCGCTCTCCAACGGTTCTTCGTAGCCACGTTTTTTGCCATGCACACTATCAGGTCCGCCAGTTGAGCAGTCGCGGATCGAACGATAAACGTGTTTAGCAAGACCAAGAATAAACACAACAATAGCAATAACATAGAATTGAAGACACACACGGCTAGTGAAAGTGAGCTGACGAGAGCTAGTGCGGTTGTCGGTGCTCACATGCGCTCGCTTGGCCATTACGAATGTGTAGAAGAAGCGTTGTGAGAGCATTTACTCACATAACCGTATCTTTAGAACAGGCGTTTACTGGCGCTCTGAGTATAGTGTGACTGTGTGCGTTAGATATGTATGCTTGTGGAATATACATATGTTGTGACGACAGTACGTACATATGTATATTTTTATATACCATAGTTGTATTTAAATATTTTGCACATAAATACTTACGAATGCTAGATGTAGTGCTTCGGCTGATATTTGATGTGCGAACAATTTTTAATAAATATTATTAAATGAACGTAGCTTTGCGTATACATATACTTACATACATATATTATGTATGTAGTTATGTAAATATGTACATTTCAAAATATTTGGTGATCTTCAAATTTCCGTCTATTTGAACGGAAGTATTATATATACACGTACATATTTACTTATGTAAATAATATAATATATATATATAATAAATTTTTCAAGGTGGTTTAAAAAGTTTCTACATATGTATGTACTTATGTATATTTCAAAATATTCTAAAAAACTACATAGAAGAGTTTGTTATTGGTTATTAACTACGATGGTACATAAATAGAGAGTATTATATATATATTAGGGTGGAGCGAAAAAAAAATATTTTGTGCTTTGCCTGTGGGTAAAATTTGTAGATTATAAAAAAGAAAATTTTTGGAAAAATTTTTTTTTTAACATCCAAATACACACGAAGTTATATATAAATGTATATTTAAGTATTTCATTAATTCTTGATGATATTATATATGTATATCTCGTCTTGATTCAAAAGCTCTTCCGTTTGCTCATTTTTGTTTCGCAGAATTTAAATGTGACCGTGATAATCGCAATGAAAATTAAATCAGTATAATCTTGTAATTAAAGGCTATAACAAAATCAAATCTCGCTGTCTGGATGTCTCAAACCGAACCAAATCTAATGCAGCTCACGAAAGAATTGAACAAAAATTATTGATTTTTTCTTCAATAAAACTTGGAGAGTGTTATGCTTACTCTATGGGGTCGAAGAACAGCCAGTATTGCAATTGTGAGAGAATCCGTCAGTAAAAAACACAATAAGTGAAAATCAACGAAAGAACATCGTGAAGGCGAAGGACAAAATGAAGATCCATCGGCAGTCGTTAAAAGCAGACGGAACAGTATATTTTCTGCTCCGTGTTGAAAAAGGAGGAGGGTTGGATGGATTACACCGAATGAGCGGTGCAAGCTAGCAAGCGTTTCGGTGAATATGAGGATGGAGCGAACAATTCCCTCGAAGAGTCCATCCACCTGGGCAGCAAGGTAAAAATGTAAAACCAAACAAACAAAATGAGCGAAGGTAATAACGTTAAGATTATTACTCCAGGTGGTACCCATGAAAATGGAAATCCACCCGCAGTTTCGACTGTGGCAGGGGCGTGAATTCTGGAGGCCCCAACCACGCTCACAGATGAATCAAAAGATTCGTCAAACAGTACAAAACAAGAGGGCGAAGAAAACCCTATTCGCAGGGCCAAAACCATTCGGAGCCGCTAGAAGCGGAGCACGCAAAAAAGCGGCTACTGGCAGCTGCAACTAGTGCACAGGTTTATGTTACTAATCCCGAAAATAACCAACCTCCTGAGATTGAAAAACAATTTCTAAATCCGGAGGTTACTACAAGCTTTAAGAGAGCAAATTACGAAGTCTCTAACAAGGTAACGAACGAAGTCGCCAGTAGTAGTCCAACAGCTCCAAGCACCGATAAGAAGGTCGAGGAAAGGAAAAAAAGATCATATGGGGAGGCTAACTGTCCCTTTAATTACGCCGTTATCGACGCTGGGCGTTGGGGACGGCGTATGTCAGCCGAGCAGCAAACTCTGTTCGAGGCGGCGTTCAGCGATGGTCTAATGGATCTGATCCTGTCGTCGTCCTTGCACAGATCTGTATTTTTCGACTAGCCATTAAATCTGTCGAGGATGTGGGCGCCATCCGTTCCATGGTAGAGGGGTTTCCGGGGTTGTGGGACAAATCTCAGCTAAGACTTGTGAATGACGATAATGTTCCCAGACTTACGAAGACTCATATCTTTATCAGTGGAAAGATGTCGGTAATGTCTACGGAGTGCATTCTCCAGATGCTGGCTGAGCAGAACAAAGTATAAAGGACTGATCTCTTGGAGGTGTTCTACCGCGGTTTCACGCCGGAAGGGAATGTCATTGTGTTGGGCATAGACCACAACTCGGTTTCATTTCTTAAAACTACAATATATATATGTTGCTTTTCAACTTATCATCTTCACCTTCCACAAAAGAGTTTAGGAATATCGAGAAGTATTCAATAAAATAAGGTATGTAACTTATTAGAGGAAGAGAGAGTGTAATTTCCATTGTACGATTAAGAAATACATAGATTGTAATGATAGGGCAATAGCTTTGTTCGACTAAACTTATTTTAGAACATACACGCTCTAGATATACGTAGGCGATATGACCATCTTTAAACATAAAAGGAAAGTTTTGACTGAAGAACTGAGTCGCTGCTCAGCCTCCCGCTTTCACCACATGAGCAGTCAAGTTCTGTTTAAGAAATTACACAATGCAGATCGGTGCATTTGAAAATACAATACAAACGGTTCACAATAGACAAATCTTAGATGACTGGAGAGCTGAGACGCTTCTCTCAATTGAGTATTCACCAGAGTAGCCAAAATATTCAGAAATTCTATAAGTTTTAAATCATTCAAAGCAGTCAAAACCGACGATATCACTACTGTTCAGTTGTAGTACAGAGCAGACCTATCAAATCGTCTTCTTACCACATTTAAAAGTATACTGCGCGTGTTCGCCTGATTTTTCCACAAGCTATCAAAATATCTGCATCCCAAACCCGCAAAAGGAAAGGAGCATCAACTAATGGGTAGAGAGGTGTCTGACAGAGAAGTGTCGCAAGAGGAGCAGGTAGTTTCGCAAGGAAATCGTGCGTATCAATAAGAACGTATTTTAATCTCTGCTCAACCCAGCAAATCCATTACCTTTCTAGTATATTTCATATTCAGCAGTTACATAAGGTAGAATAGGCAGAAAGTGAAGCTTGAATGAATTATAAAATTAAGGAATAGAAGTTACTAAGAGAGAAATTATAAAATGTTTATTATTTCAAAACTGCGTAATTCCTAATTTACATGTTTTTTACTTACAGTGTAACCAGTAATTTTAGCCAGAGTCAACTGTATAATTATCAATACATATCTATGTATAAACGTTTACATAAAGCCGCTCAGGTCATGCAAGCAACAGCGAAACATGTATATAAATATCTGTTTATGTGTAAATAGGTGTCAGCGTGCACATTGGAAGAGCGACAAAACGTTGGTACGCCAGAGCGTAAACTCGCCTACGCTCAACGGCTGACGAAAAGCCGTCTACAAACACCGGTACAGTTGATGTTGACAGCGCGAAATGAAAACACTTCGTCGACAGCGATGTTTATACGAGTTGATAAATATATGCATACATACATACATATTTGAAGAGATATTGAATTATACCAACTTAAGTCGTTTTTTCGCCGCTGAAAATTTCATAAATAAATAATAATTGGGCAAGTGTGTTTACACTGAAACATGGGTTCGGAATTCAATAGAAAAGTGATCAAAAAAGGATGTCTCAATTTAGGTATATCGGTGCGTTCGTCTGTTCGTGCAACCAATATCTCAAGAAAAAATTCTATCTTATTAAAACTTAACAGCTGAGTACCTTGGCATTAATTTCGGTGGAAATGCTCTTAGCTGTATCCTCCTCGCGGGTGCTGACTGGGCAATGTACGTCGTTGCAGTCACCGTTACGGCTTGGCAACTGAAGAAGTTTATAGAGCAGGGGCTGGCGGTACGAGCAGCGGCGTCTAGCCAAGGCATATCTACTTCTACCATTGCTAATGATAGGTACCTGGCGGTTGGTATAAAACTCTATTGGTACAGGTTCCCTGAAGATAGAACTCAGTATGGAGTCTAATAAGGAAGAAAAACAAGCTGGGATATCAGCCCAAACCAAGTGGTTGCTACCATCGGCGGGCACAACGAGTTTACTTGCTGTGTCGCCAGCGGCCATAACTCTGCTGTGAAGGGAGCAGTTCACAGCGGTTGTGCTACTGTCAAACCCGCTTTACAATATAGAGATGCCATCGTCCACGTAGACTCGGACCTTGTAAGCATTGGAAGCGTCAACACATACGAAGAGAAAGTTTCGCCAAGCTCCGCGGGAGATGCTAATGGCGCTATTTCGGCTGTAAAGACTAGGCTTAGGGCAAAACCCAGTAAGGAGGGATTGAAGGCGAAAGCGATCTACAAAGCGGCGGTCAAAGTCCATGGAAGACTTAGCTGCAAGCCAAACCGGACGAAGGAAGAGGAGGAAAGGTTGGTTTGGGCTACAGAAAAAATGGAAGAAGGCCGGGCTTACTATGCATCGCGGCCGCAATTCATGTCCACGGATCCGAGATATGCAAACCGGATCGAGGAAGGGAACACGCTGGAGAAGAAAGAGATGGAGGAGGATCTAGAAGAGATCCTATAGGCAACCTTGAAGCTCGCGGACGCAGATAAGGGTGAGCCGGAGATTTCACCCGACCCCGAAAAGAAACCCGAACTTAACAGCGAAGGTTTTTCAGATAAATCTGAACAAGAGCAAAGTAGCCACTGCCGAGCTCCTACTCAATTTAGAGAGGATCGGCTACGATGCGACTTTAGTTCAGGAACCATGTATTGTCTTGGGAAACATGGTATCATGACTAATATCGTCCACATAATATACGTACTTCCCGTGTGCAACAAACAAGGTAAGAACAGCTATACTGATAAAAAAAAGTATGCATTCATATATTAATCAAAATTCCTCCTCAGCTGACCTGATTGGTAACCAGTACTGGTAGTTCAATAGAACTCCGGAGGTTGGTAGATTCGGCTCATATGGCAGAGAAAACTCTGGTGATAGGCGCAGACGCTAATGCGCACCACACAGTGTGGGGTAGCGGAGATACCAACGAAAGGGGTGAGGAACCAATATACTTATATTGACCCTACAATATCAGACCATATTATTATTAGGAAAAGATGCCCACCTTATTTCATTAAAATATTTATAAATTTCCAATTTGTCGGTATAAAGTCAACCATAAAAGCTGAGGTCCTCATATTCTTTATTTTAGGGTTTGAAAAAGTACCATTCGGTATACAATTCGTTTACTACATAACTCTATATCTACCTTGATAGCGAGAAATATATACTTTTACTGTTTTGTTTTTACATACAGATTTGTTTTTGTTTTCCAGAGGCATGGTGCAGAATACGCTGGAAATCGTTACGTGATACCTATAAAAGAAAAAAGCGCGCCGCAGGTCTTACAGTCAGGAATAAAAAATCATTTAAGAAATTCAAGTTTCATCAAGAAATGACCTTTTTAGAGAATACACCTTCTGACAGGAAGTAAATATGAAAACAAATTTAATGCAAATTTTTTAAGTACAAAAATATTTCTTTCCCCACAGTTATATAAGCAGCGACGACGAGGACGCCGTTTTAATCTGCCGCTACAACAATCGACTGGCCTGTCGGAAAGTGACGTTGACTCAATCGAATTTAAAGTAGCAACACTTGTATATGGAGAAGTTTAAATGGCGCGTCAAAATGGGCAGAGTAATGTTTTAATAATTAACTTAAATTAAATTGAAAATAAAAAAGTTCTACTTTAAATGTATATTCATTTAAGATTGAAACATAAGAAACACTTTTTATAAATTATTGTAGGTTTATGTAATATAATAAATTTTATATTTACAATTTTATTCAATTGTTGTTAAATAGTTTTTATTTTTCTCAAAATAAATTTTATTAGGCATTATAAATCCATATTGTGCTAAAAAAATACATAAATTACCATAAATATTTTGAAATGTGGTTAAATCCAGAGATAAATATAACGCTACATATATTACACATAACATTTAATTTAGTAATGTATTTTTAGTGCACAATGAATATTTGTTTAATGTTTCTTGCTTTGAAATAGCGTGAAATCATTTTTTTCTTCTTAAAGTAATGAAGATATAGACTTTATAGTAAATATACAGCATTAAACCTGTTCATAAAATTTTATAGTAAAATATTTACACTAAATTAATTTTTTTTAAATATATAGACTATTTAAAATTCTAAAATACAACTATACAGAAATTTAAATACAACTAAACAGAAATTTACAGATAAAGTTACTTAAGTCTGTATAAAAATTCAGAAATGGTTACGCAAAAGTTATGCTAAAACTTTTATTTCATATATCAGACCTTTATGAAAGGAAATGTACATTTGTTTGATAAAAATATTAAAGCTGAAACTTCAAGCTAGACCTTTGGCTTTCCAGCACTCAACTTAGAAAAGTGAATTGGAGAATTTCTTCAAATATTTTAATCGTTTTTAACGCATTTTACTTTTTCTCAGTCATTGATAGTAACTTTAGCAGGTTGCTGTTTTTAATTAACAGTGCATGCTAAATTCATTGTAAGATCTTAATATAAACAATAATTTGCTGCAACTATCAACAACAATAAATATTTAATTTATTATGTTAAAATAAGTTTTCATTTCTTTAACATTTAAAACAATGTTATTTTATACAAATGTATTATTTTTTACACATAAATAAGTTAAATATAAATTACCAAATTTGTTGTTATAGTGGAGGTTCAAAACAATGAATCAAATATTGCAAAATATGTTAAGAAAAAAAGTAATAGTTTTAAATACTATGGTTGTAGGTGGAGATGTTTTGAAAGGAAAGAAAGTTTAATTTTGTACACATGCAAAAAGATCTACAAAATACGAAAACAATGATGCTGCCAAATTCCTAGAAATCGTCACAGCCTATTAGTGGAAGTGAATGGAAAGGTGAACCGCCTACGCCAAAGTTATTTTCTGAAAATGAATCAGTGATTTAATACGTGATCAAGTTAGGAATGATAAAGCAATTTTTCAAAGCGGTGAACGTGGAAGGATATTGTATTAATTATACACATTTGTAGAATAATTCTGAAGCTTAATATGGAAAAGTTGAAAGTTGGAATATTTAATGTTGACCATCAAATACGGCAATTTAGGAAAGTTACAGATTTTATCCATGTTATAACTGTTCTGAAAATTGTAGCTCGGAAAAGTTTTGTGTGGACTCTCAAAAATTTCCTAGGTAATCATAAAAATACAAATTATGAAGACATTGTAAAGAATTCAGGCTCCAGGAGCAAACATTAGTATTAAATGACAGTACCTCCACAATTATCTAGATAAGTGTTCGGATAATTTTGGAAATTATAGTAAAGAATAGAGAGAGCGGTTCGAGCAAGTTATAAAAATGTTGGAAGACCGATATCAAGGTTATTCGAATCGTCGATCGTTCGATATGATGGCATATTGCTACTGGTGCTTAAAAAGATATAACCAAGGAAAATTTTTGAAAAGTAAAATAGAAATAAAGCTTTTAAACTAATAAAATTGTGACCATAAATACTTCCATAAACCGATCTTATACCTGAGAACACAAGCAAAATTACAAGTCATTCTGTCAATTAATTCTTTGTTTACAAGTAATTTGAAGTTGACGTGTGAGATTATTATTTTTTCTTTGTTTTGAAAGGTTTAAAAGCAGAGGAAATTTATAAACAATTGTTAGAAATGTATAAGGCGACATCACCTTCAAAACGCACCGTTGAATTTTGGGCTGGTGAATTTAAACGTGGTCGTACTAAGCTTGAAGACGATCCACGTTTTAACAATAACAAAATTAAACGAATTAAAGTACGAATTGCTTGAGCATCAACATATTCACCAAATATGTCTCCCAGCGACTACTATCTCTTCAGAAACCTGAAACAATTGCTTCGTGGAAAGCGTTTTTCGTCGAATGAAGAAGCTATTAGAGCCGTATACGGGTATTTTGCGGAGCTTCCGGAAAGTCATTATAAGGTTGGCATAAAATTATTGGAGGAATATTGAAATAAGTGTATTGAAGTTAAGAGAAATTATATTGAATAAAAAAAATATATTTCATACCAAAAACAGTATTTTTTCATGTTCAACCAACGTATTTTATATGTACATATATACACACTTGTATGTAAATAAATACATATTACATATATTTTTATATAATATATTTTTTTTAACTTTAAATATAGGTTACAATTATGAGTTTCTGATAGCATAATTTTATTATTAGCGGTATATAATTTTGTTTAGTTTGTAAATTTGCTTAGGCGGGTTACTTCCAGAAAAGTTATGAAAAATACAATATTTTGTCATTATAATAATTTAAAGTGGTATTTTTTATTACTATGTCAATAATAATAAAAAAATACATATGTATGTATACATTAAAATTCCATAGCACTTTTGTTCCACCTTAATACAAGCTATCAATTTCATTTGTAATACAAAGAATGAATCAAGAGCCATTATAATAGTTTCCTCAAATAAAGAGTTTAAAAATTATATAATATAAGATTTAAAAAACTAAATATTTTCAAAAAAAAAAAATTGAAACATGCAAGAATTTGCTTTTAAAATCTTAAAAACTTACAGCTTAAGATTATTCTGAAAATTCTTTGGAGCATAGTATTATATAGTATATAATTTGTATTGTAACATATATATATATTTTGGGACGCCTTAATACTTTTCAGGCTATTGACCTAGCCGAACAAAGCAATAAAAATATAAAATATTTATTATTTAACTTAAAATATATTTAGTATAACTTAGACTTTTAATTTTTACTCCGTCTTTTATCACAGCACCACTATGTGCTTAGCCTTACTACACTAATTACACCAGCGGGTCTAAGCACTTTTATTAACATTTTGCTTCGCACTCTCTTTGTGCTTCCGCTGTACAACCCAGATATACGTGTTCATATGTATGTACATATGTGGCAGATAGTCCAAACATTTCTCTCTTAGGTTTGTTTTATATAGCTATATTCTCTCCCTGGTATCTTTCATATAAGTATGTAACTGTATACATACATATGTATGTGTATTTGTAATTAATTTACGTAGCTTTCCTTTTGGAACGGACCGCACTCCTAAATATATACTCCAATTGTGTTATCAAGCTAAGCGCACTATAGTTCTCCTCCGTCATTACGAAATTCTCAAGAACTCTTAAATAACGCAGCGCCTCCATATAATTAGTTATACGCGTGCTACGTTGTGGCCGATTTGTTGTTGGTTTTTTAGTTGTTGTGTTAGTGTTATCACTAATATCGGTGGATTCAACTTTAACGATGGAGACTAGGTCATTCTCCGTAGCTTCTGTTTTTATACTGATTTTTGCAGGTTCCACTGCCTTCGCTCTCTGAGCTGTTCTCGTATTTCGCGCGGACGTTTCGACACTTTGTCCTTGGACATCTGATCTTATACTCATAACAAGCGCTTCGATATTGTTTTTAAGACTTCTTTGGTGTTTTGTTGCCGCGGGTTCTTTTGCAGTTTTCCCTGTAGTTTTCGCACCATCCACATTACCACAATCTTTATTCGCCACATTTTGCTCAGTTTCACTTTGGCACAATTCTTCTACTCGTCTACTCAATATAGCAATGCGCTTATCTTCGACCAATAGCTTACGCTGCTCCTCTCTCTCCTGCTCTCGCACATACGCAATAATGTCATTGCAATCCAACGAACGACGCTCACCCATATCACTTTCCAATTGCTCCATCATCTCCATTAGGTCTACGCTATAGTGTTTTAACTTGAAGGAATGCAACCACACATCGTTCGGTGTGAAATTCTCAATGGCCAAGGCCTTCTTCACCTCCAACGCTTTGCGGCGTATGACCGTCGCATCAGTAGTCATGCGAAGATTGAGCGCGCGCAATAGAAACTCAAAGATTACCTTACCGAGCAATTCGATTTTCGCCTCATTCGAATTGTCCACTCTGGCGCTTAGGTTCTTGGCACGTGCTTTCTCATAGCTCTGCAGCAGTTCATCCTGGCTGGCAATAATGTTTTTGATCTGCAATTTACTACAGCCGAAATGCTTGGCCAACTGCCGATAGTTGGGTATATATTTGTAGGCCTTAATCACTTGTATGCGTTGGCCCAGCGTGAGCTTCTTGTATGGCTTGTAGTCGCGCCACTTCAGCTGTTGCGGCTCCATTGTATATATATAACTTTATATAAGGCTGTGTAAATATTTATGTATATACAACAAAAACATACAGGGCTATTTAATTTTGACAATTAGTCATATAAAGCGCCGAAAAACCACCGCTACAAACAGAAAAACTACACACCACGAGCAAATTAAATCGGATACTGAGCAGTCGACCAAGCAATGGCAGTGACGATCAACGAGCGTCACACACATTTCTATCTATAAATATGTAAGAAGAGTAGTAACGTAGGGAAATATTGTGCTCACAATTGAATTTCCCACATATAAACACATATACACAAGTATATATGTATATACATACACATATATTTATAGCTAGACATGAGAGCATCTCACTGTTTTCAAAAGAGCAAAGTTTTGGAGAACCACAGTAAATATATATATATATTTCCGCGTATATATGCATATGTTTATACTTATTTATGTATATGGCATACGTTTTAGCACATCAATTTTGTAAACATTGCGCGCTCTCTCTCTGCTATCGTTTGCCGAGCGTTTGGCTGTCATCTTAACAAGTGAAAGCAATGCCGAACAGCTGTTTAAGAAGCTAAACGAAAACACACCTAAATATAATATATACATCTAGCTACTTATGTACTTATATAAATAGGTGAGTATATGCAAATATCTCTCAAAATGAAAAAATCTACAAAAGTGCAAACACATTTTAAAATATAAACGTTATTTGTTGAAAGTACAACAATAATAATAAAATTATTTTATAAATATTTAAATATCTTTAATTCAGAAACCCAGGCGTTCATGAGAGCCCTAATATATACAAACTCTAAAAATGAGTATGAGAGAGCGTGGCATTGAGTATGAGTGCTCTCTTGATATTGGCTAAGAAAGGCCAAACGTTTTCGAATATTTGTTACTCGCCATAGAACAGGTGTTCTGTATTTGCATTAAATTGTAAAAAACATAAATTTTATATTAGTTATAAAAGCTTAGAAGAGTTTGATATGGAACAATAAGATTGAAGCTTCAGTTCGGCACCAAATAACTATAGGTATATTAAATACCTTTTCCATTTTTTACGGTTAGTAGGGTAAGGTAAACGTACAAATTTTCAATACCTAACTTCACTGCTCTAAATGACGAATGGATTGGTAATTTGTTGTGTGTGTGGAAATTTGTTCTGTTTACAGTGGCAGAGCACCTTGCTTAAGTAATTCGGGGTAATGCAGCCAAGTTGATAGTTTTTGATTGGACCGCCGTGGGAACAGTCGAAACAAAATTTAAAATATCGAATGATAATTTCTGATCTCTGATTCTATTTATTTTATTTTAGATTTCATTGTAAAACTAAACTTATGGATAGGTGTGATCGGAGTGCTTAAGAGATTTAAAAAATCAGCCCTCTGAAGTAATAGTTGTTAGGTTAGGTTAAGAGGTCGATTATAACAGGGATCTCACTTGGCTGCGGTCCGTTATTGTACCTAAATCCCTCACATCCTCACAAATCGATAAAGCGCTTTGAGCCTATCACAAATTTGTTGAGACGGCTATTGTTAATTGCGGCTTTGACTCCTGGTTCGCCGAATTTAAGACTGTTGAGATGTTTCAACCTAAGTCTTAACAAGGCTAGATAACTATTTGTAGTTATAATTAATATTGTATTCAGTAAAATTGTTTTCGGTCGATTAAAAACTAATAAGCATTTATTTAAATAAAGTTATAGTTTATTTTTACGATCCTTATATGCATATGTATGTATGTATTCATTAGAATGTTAAGAAATTTGAGGAGCTTATAATAAAAATTATAGAATTGAAGAAACTAGGTGGTAATCATAAATAGATATGAAAATATATACATTTTTAATACAAATTACTTTAACATAACTGAAACTTTAAATTATAGCCATTTTTTCTTTTTATTCATATTTTTAGGTTATGCATTTAGATCATTATATAAGGAATATAGTTTGATTTAGTTCAAAAGAATACTTTGGAGAACAAAAATAAAAATATTTCAAAAGCAATTAATTGAATGAATATGTAATTTATACTGAGTTTCTTAACTAAATTTTTAGGTTATGTGACAAAATCAAAAATTTGGAAAAGTTTAGGCACCATTATATTATATAATAATATGTATATAATAAAACCTCACTTCAAAATCTTTAAAGCCTTTTATTATTAAAAAAGGGAAAATAAAAAATATAACTAAATCAAAAGTTCTTGTAAGAGGCCTTAATCATATAACATTTAGAACAATGCCAATCATTATAAATGCGCTTGTAATTGTACATATCTACTATGTACTTATGTAATATATGTATGTGTTACTTATAAATATACGTATTTGTAACACTAGTATATGTATTTGTAACTTCTAGTATATATATATTTCTGTAACATCTAATGGAAATTAGCTTTTATTCCACTACTAATTTAATGACTTAAACTCTTCAATTTGGGTGGATTCTTAAATATCTGCTCCAGTTGAGTTATCAAACCGATAGCACGATAGTTTTCCTCAATCATCGCAAAGTCTTCAAGCACCCGTAAATGACGCAAAGCCTCCGGATAACTGTGTATATCAGGGAAGGGGGGCAAAGATATCGGTTTTTGCGCCGAAGTGCTATGATTAGCAGACGCATTGATTGATTCTACTTTGGCAAGAGAGACATCGTCATTGCTCTCTTCTTCGTCATCCGATGCTAAATTCACGACAATCGGTTCAATATTTGTATCAACGACGCTATCGTCATCAGTACTTTTCATATCAGCATCGCTGAACTGGTCACCATTTTCGTTGTTATTAATAGCGACTCGGTTATTCACCGTATGCTCGTAACTGCACGAACTATTACTGCCATCCGCACTCTCACTCTCCCACACACTATTGCAATTCTCATCTTTCGCCAATGTCAAAATTTTGCGTCGCTCTTCTCTCTCCTGCTGACTAACATACTCAATTATATCGATGCACTTCAACGAACGTCGCTGATCCATATCGCTGGGCAAGTGCTCCATCATGCCCGCCAAATCCAAACGATTATAAGTGGCTTTGAAATCTCGCAACCATGCATTGTTGGGTGAGAAATTTTCAATAGCTATCGCTTCCTTAACTTCGAATGCCTTCTGACGTATGATCGTGGTGCCGATGGGCATGCGCAGGTAGAGGGCGCGCAGCAGAAACTCGTAGACGACTTTGCCGAGAAAGTCAATCTTCTCTTGTCGCCGATTGGTAACCTCATCGGTTAGCTTGTTGGCACGCACGCTATCATAATGACGCAACAGTTGATCCTTATTCGAAATGATGTTCTTTATCTGCTTGGCACTGCAGCCGAATGTGCTCGCCAAACGTTGATAGTTCGGCATGTGTTTGTAGGCTTTGATCACCTTAATGCGCTCCGCCGTCGTCAGTATATTGCGCGTTTTGTAATCGCGATGTTTCGCGTTTATCAACTCCATTGCGTGTATGTATGTAAAAGAGCAGTGAATTTCAATCAAAACAATAAGCTTTATAAAGCTCTGGAAAACCACGTTTAGCAGCACGCAAACGTCGTCTCAACCGTATAAACAACTTATTGCTTCCAAACTCTATCGGATACTAAGCTGGCGTAGCCACATTATAGCTGTCGATCGGCTACGATCAAGAGACATAAGTAGAAGCGAAAACGATGCGCTCATTAAGCGCGGTTGAAATTTTCTATTCAATTCTTCGGCATACACTCTTGTATGGGTATGTACATAAATACATATGGTATGTATGTAGGTAAACAACTGTGTGTATGCATGTGCGTAGGCAAACGAAGTTAAGTCAAGCGAACCCCAAAGCGTAAAATGGCAAAAGAAGTGCTGTGGAGCCATTATTAGTGAGAGCGCTGAGTCGGTTTCAGTAAACTTGCAGCGTGCTCTCGCTGAAATTGTGCAAGCATGCCGTTACTCTCTGACACATCGGCTGTTGAGTAGTGATTCGGTTCGGAGCGCTACGGCTGAGCGAAAATCTACTGACATCGTAGCATGCGAAGCAGTGAGTATCAACAAGTGAAACCGTAACTATAAGTACGAATCAGTCAGATATATACAGCCAAAAGCATATACTACGGTAACATGCGTACATATGTATGTACCTATGATACGGCAGTAGTATAAAGGTAAAATATTTTATATACACACAAACGTTTTTACATATGTATGTACATACAAGGTTTTTCACGGTAGCTTTTATACTTCCGATGAGTGACTACAGTTGAATCAGGCTAAAAAGCTTTGAATTTGGCAAATGAGGGTAAATACATATATATTTATTATTCATATATGCACTCACATACATATGTATGTTCATATATTTAAGAGAGAAGCAACAAAGCCAGTCGAAGTCCATCTCGCGCGTATGAGCAAATGGAGAAACCCGTATTGCTGTCTGAGGAGAAGCAAGCTTTTAAGCTGTTAGGTAAACAAAACGCTTATATTCAAAATTCAATGTGGAATTGTGTATAATTGTATGTGCTTGTAAGAATGTATATATGCATGTATGTACATATGTATTTATATAAAAGAAGAAAACATTTGTAAGCATCATTTACTCAGAGAGTAATGCTTTAGTAAGCTTGCTGGAGCAGTTTGCTCAATTAGGCCGATCATATTATTTTAAGGAAATAAGAAAATCATTAGTTTTAGTTTCTGGTTTTTATAATATTTATTCATCGACATGTTTATCCTTCGAAGTCTTTTTAGTATGCAACTTCAGTATTTTGAACAGTACACATATAGAAGCTTATTTTTTTCTGGTCTAAATCAAGATGCTTTCCTCTTGTTCTTTTCTGTGAATCAGCTAGTATTACATCTGTCCTAACTGGAGTAGCCGCTGCGTGTTGATTCGCTGAATTATGATGACGTCATCATAAAGCTCCTTCTTCGTTGTCAACACGTTTAAGTCTATAAATAGGTAAAGCAGTGGCGGATACACAAAAGGTTTTCGGGTTTGAAAACCTATTCAAACTATTTTCCCGTATTATTCATCCCTAGAGAATATAGTTTTCCTATATATCAGATATATAATATTAGCTGCCTTCGATTCGCTAAGCTTTACTCTTCAGCGAGTCGAACAAACAATGGCAGATGCCCAAACAAAGGAACAGCATTTGTGGTGCAACCCTGCGCTAACATGTTTTATGAAGCTTGCATGAACAAAATTTTGGTTTTCTGTCATTGGGTTTTCCTCAAGTGTGAGGAGCAATTGTTAAAAATCTTTACAGTGGTGTTCAACTCTTTACAGTGGATTTTTTTTATTATACCTTTAACTCGGTATACTGAGTTTACCACGTTTTCCTAGAAGGAAACGGAGGCCACAGAAAGTATATACATACATAAGTACATATATAAATGATCAACGTGTCGAGCTGACTGTCTGTATATATACGAACTGGTCCCTCAGTTTTTGAGATATCGTCCTGAATTTTTGCACACGTCCTTTTCTCACCAAGATGTTGCTTATTTGTAGAAACGGGCGATATCACACCACTATACCACAAAGCTGGCATTCAAACTGAACGATCGGAATAAAGTGTTTCTTTGAAAAGCTTTTCATTTGAGATATCTTCATGGACTATTGCCTAAGGTAGTGGTTTAATCACCAAAGAAATGGTTCAGATCGGATCACTATAGTATATAGCGCCCAAACCAAAAAAAAAAGATCGGAAACTAGTGCTTGTATGGAAATTTTTTTCATTTAAGGAGATAGGCAATCTCCAATCTCGAGGCCACAGTGCAATCTCCAAAGAAATTCCTCAGATCGAGTTACTTTAGCATATAGCTGCCATACAAACTGACCGAGCAAAGTTCTTGTAAGGAATTGTTGTATGTGTGGGGATATTATAGCTCGGAGCAGTCGAGCAATTTTAGATGGATGCCACATAGAAGTTTGGTCGGCAGCAGAAGATGCTGTTGATTACTATAATTAAAAAGGCTGGTATTCTAAAGTTCTTCTGGCTTTAGTAGATGCAAGGTAATTTGTTTCATGACCCTCGTTCAAACTCTTAACGCATTTCTTTAATTTTATAGATGTTGCTTAATTTACAAAGACAACGTCCGTTGTAATGACTCTTTAATATTTGAGAGTTCAGCTTTAAAATGTCAGTTTTTACAATTTAGCATATTTAATGACATGAATAGGCAAATATCGTCGATTAAGGGGGAAACCAGTTTTGGAGGCCGAAATGTGGGTGTTTATGTGATTTTTTTTTAACTGAGAAAGAATACTTAGAATTCGTTAAAACTTGCAGGGTAGTTTCGTCCTATTTTGAACTACACTTTTAAATTTTTCGATGCCATAACATATTTTCTAAGAATATGAACCAAACTCTGGCCATAAGAGTTGAAAATTAAATGTTTTGGAGGTGTTTGAACAAAATGTTATGTTTTTATATCTTTTCACCTTTCACCTTTCTTACATAAAAATATATATTTTACTTAATAATATCATTCCAAACTTTGGTTTATACTTTTCGGACTTGAATAAATAATATTCACCAACATTTTCAGATCGATTCGTCAATAACTTTTCTAGCAAGGAATCCCGCAAGTTGAAAAACAGCCGTTTCGAGAAAAACGCATTTGAAAAAAAGTGCGCTTCGGCACTGAATCGACCGGTGTTTACCTTAGTGCTCATATCATCGGAACTAATTGGAATTTCGTTTTGAAACTTAAGCAACATATTCTTCAATAGTTGTACCAACAAGTTATGCAGTCAAAAAATAGATTTTTGTGAATCATCTAAACTGGTTTCCCCCCTTAATGTTCCGGGCGTTTTGTTGGGCGACTCTGCGTTTAAGCTTGATGAACATTTGATGCATCTGTACCCATTTTGCATAAACCAACCTTTGAATAAAAAATCAAGAATGCTTTCGGTCATATAAAAGCAAGGCTAAGACAAATGCTTGGTTAATCACATGGTCAACACGAAAGTATTCATAAAAGCGTGCTGCGTTTTGCACAACTATTTGAATGAATATTATGATGAAATTAATGAAAGGTGGATGGCAGTATAAAAAATCGAAAACCAAACTCGGCAGTTACCAGAAAGTGTCCCTAACATTTCCAGAAATGTCAACCCAAGGGCAGCGGCAATATGACAAGCTTTCGTTTCAGATTTCGGTAAGTTATTGCATTAAACTTTGAGATATTATTACACCTCGAAAAACCTGGGTATTCATACTAATTTCCAGTACTCAAACACAAATATTTTAAATAAATATTTGCCATATATATAGACTTTTATTTACCAACTATATCATACATATACTTATGTACATCCATATGCATGTAGTTGTATATATAAATAAAAACTACATTTACGACTAATTTTGGGGACGAAGGAAGTCGTGGAAAGCATACTTCACCTCGCTAACGTCATAGACAGATTTTTCCAAAATAGTTAGCTGTTTTTCATCAGCCTCCTTCCACGCCTGAGGTGTCTTCAAAACATCTTCACGCATTCCATCACCGATACTGCTTTTTCCTTATAATTTTTTCCAGTTGTTGTCCTCTACAAGCTCGTCAAAGCAAAAGCTTTTGTGTAAGCCTACTTCATCGTGGACCGAGGTAAAATATTTCCACGATGAAGGAGAGTGACGCTGAATCAATTTGCTGTTTCTTTAGCCTAAAAATATACAACAAACATTATTTCCTAATAATATTTATCTTACTTCTTAATTTATTTCATACCTGTATTTTTTTTGGTTAATTCATACAGTTTCGCCTTTATTTGTACTCTATGAGATCGGCTTCGGCAGCCTCACTCCATATAACTCTCTTGTTGTTTTCACTATTTCGAGCCATTTTTATTTCTTTAATGAATGTTGTTTATAATTTATTTGTTTGTTTATATTTTTTTCTCTTTGACAGTTTGTATGATACGATCTCTGATGAGATACGTTCGATATACGTTCTCTGATCATATATGATATACGTTCTCTGTATACGTTCTCTGGTTTCAATCTTTCTAGCGGTTACAACAACCATATTCCTTGCGACATCTAGCCAGTTTTTAAGCTATGCGTATCTTTGCTTCACTGTTTTCGGTGACCACCATGAGATGGCGCAAGCAACTGAATGTATAATAAATTTTGCTATAATCGATATTTCAAAAAGTATAAAAATCGTTGTATCTGATATTGGAGTTAAATTTAGATTTTTTAGGTAAGTGAACTTTTAGTAACACTCAATCTGTTTGACTCGTTGGAAAGTTTTTCAGGTGCGTATTCACTTCGAGAAGATAATGGAAAAAAAATCGAGTGAGAAAAGCGACCTTACTTTGTGTCCACATTGAGGAGGATTAAGTGTAGAAGCAGAGGCGACAAAAATATATAATATGCAGAAGAACCATATCGAAAGAGGATAGAGCACGATACTAGTACGCTATTAAGCTAGTTATGAAAGCGAAGCTTTACTGTATGAATCCCAATTTCTAGCCCGATGGGAAGTAAACTAGAATGGAAAGCGAGGAAAAGCAATGAAGTGGATTCAAAGAGGCTTAGTAAAGCTCCGGGGTTAATAGTTGTGACACAAATTCGTGGACCAGTAACCTAATCCCATAAGCTACCTTAACTTGTTTCTGGGAAGAATGATTAGATTCCTGAACCGTTTTGCATCGAATTCTTCCAGAAACAGCCTCACCTGTTGAAGCCCGGACACTTGCTGCCAGTGACGATTTCTACCGACCCTTTCGTTTTTCTGTAGCTCCTCGGCTAGCTCATTTTAATTGATGTCTCCAACCCTAGGAGGATTCATGCTAGTAAAATGTTAAGAATGATTCATTCCCCGTGATAGTTTTTCTCTAGAATAATCTCTATACATCTGCTAATGGATTAGATAAGATTTCTTTTTTTAACAAGCGCATGACCATTCTAAATCTATGTATATATCTACAAAAGGTTGTAGCACAGTATTCGTATTAATAAAATATGTATACGATTGCTTAATATCGCTCAGTATAACGGCACTAAGCATGAATTCAAAACAAATTCTAGATTGTCGATCACCCCATCATCATCAAGACCAAAAATAAAATATAAAGCCAAAGTAGACCTTGAACTTATTTCGACGTCATAAACTGGTCTGGGGTACAGTTATTGAGTAAGGTTATGACAAGCTTTTTAAGGCCTTAGCCACAAACAGTTACAGTCTATTTTTTATAACTTCCGCTATGAAAACTATAACTGATCTCGAGGAAGCATTTATTCTAAGATACATAATGAGCTAATTAAGTACTAAAGAGCAGTTGTATTGTTTATATACTCTTATACATCACAAATATATATGTGTATATATATATATTCTATATTCATGCAGTCGCTATCGTTCACAAACAGATGTATGTATGTATGTGTCATGAGCTTTGTTGAGAAGTCAAGTTCCGGATGCAAATTACTACAAATGTTGACGCAATGTCGCCTGAGCGGTTGATAATTGCGCGCTGGCCGGCTGCCCGGCGGCGATATCAGAAATACCCACCAAAAAGAAAAAAAAAGAGCGAAGAAAAAAACGAAACAGAGCGGTCAGCAGCTGTGATTCTCTCGATTTGAAATCGTCAAATTGCGCACAGCTGCGCAAATGTAAAGTGTATGTATGTATGTATATGATACATTCTTATATGGATATGATAGTTCACACAGTCTGGTGTGTGGTCATGAAATCACGGCAAAAGTGGTGATCGCTGCATTGCGGCTACTTTGACTTAGCGGACTTTTAAGCAGACGCAATCATACTGGACGGAAATACATGCGTACATATGTACTTATGTATTGATAAAAGCTTAGCTGCATTTGCATGTAGGCATGTATGTATGTGCATTTGCCACCAAAAGTGCAAGACATTCTTGACAGGGTCGCGTAACCACTTCACAGGCAGCTGAAGAGCGCTCGGGCGGTCAGTAGTCACTCTAGCGTGATTCCTTTCAATGCCGCGCGCTGTATGTGTGTATGTTTGTAACAGTAAAAGTGCGCAAATTTAAAGTCGTGCGCTCAATTACAAAAGTATTTACAAGTGTTACGAGGCTTGCCTGATAAGTTGGTGATTTTAGGATCATTTAGCCTAGCCGCGTGCTAAAAGCAACACTGCCTCTGTTAACTACAAACCGTTATTTTACTACTGTTAAATATTATTTTGTGATTTAGTGGAAGTCCAATTTTTCTTCTACCGAATCCTAGAAATTTTGTACCAAAAGTAGATACAAATTAGGATTGGATTAGTGAGTCTTTGAAATTTTGGACGAAAATGAATTTGCTGCATTATTTTTTTTAATAAATTTTTTCTTATAAATATAGTATATGTACATTAGGGTGGAGCGAAAAATGTTGTGTTTTTTGCTTAGCCTGAGGTAAAATCTGTAGATTATAAAAAAAGTAAATGTTTGGACAAAAAATTTTTTTTTAACATCTAGAGGCGCCGCACTCAGTTTTAAAGTAAATTTCGATTAAAAAATTTTTTTGGACAAGAAAAAATTATTTTTGGTTTAAACTCTTTACATTTATATAAAAATTACAGAATGTGATAGTTTTTGACTCAAATTAGTTTTTTTTTCACTCCACCCTAATGCACATATATGTATGTTTATATATGATCAACATGATAAGCTCCTTTTGTCTGTACGTCTGTATAGACGCGAACTAGCACCTCAGTTTTTAAGATATCGATCTGAATTTTGAACGCAACCTTTTCTCTCCAAGAAGTTGTTCATTTGTCAGAACTGCCGATACCGGATCACTATACGATGTTGCGGCCATACAAACTGACCGATCGAAATCAAGTGCTTGTATGGATTAATTTATTTGTACAGGGTATTCTAGCATCGGTACAACCGAAGTTAACGTTGACTTTAAAATTTAATTTTAAAAAAAATCGATTTTTTATTTAGTCTTCCATGACTCTTCCCGCCTTCCAAAAATTATTTTATAGTTCACCGGTGTGATATTTGCATAGCAATATAGTTATTGAATTACAATTTTTCTTTGGCCGTGAAAATATTATATTTAAAAACTGGGCCAAAATGTATATGGTTACAAAGAAAGTTTATTAAAAGGATTTTTTTTTTAAATAAAATGTTATATATTTTTCCAAGCCACACTAACTGCTCAAGCCAAACTCGTATCACTTGCGCTCAAATATACTCGTAAGTATAAATTTAATATGTTTTCATGGTTGAGCACGACTTTTGTGCTGTGGTGTCACCGCCTATGTTTTTGTTATTGTTGTGCTAGTATACGCATATATCCCACCCCTTTTTTCGTCATTTCTAAGAAAATAATTCGCCTCTATTTTAGCTGCGTAGCAAACGTTCTTTTGACTGCATTTCTCAAGGAACTACAAATGTACCAAGAAACAAACAAACACATATAGAAATTTTTTTTTTTTAATTTTAAATATGCAAAATTGAGCAACCGGAATACTTAATATTTTAGATTTGGAACATCTGTGTGGTCATCAACACCTGGTCTACTTTTTTATGCGGATAAATTTTAACGCCTTTTTAAATTTTTACTATACAACAACAGCAATATGTGTATGCATGTATGTGTGCGGAAAAGTTAAACATCTTATCAAGCGTTGAGGGATGTTTGGTCGAACTTATATTTGTTCAGTTGCATGAGAATAAACACACACATATGGTACATACATACATATGTACGGTACTTATAAGATTATGAGAAAGATATCAGTATTTAAGCAGTACACAGGATTTTGGAAGGAACTTGCTTGATGACTGCAGAGTCAATTGTTGGTGAGGAGTGCATTTATCTATTGATGAATATACATAAGTGTGTTCCTAAAATTTTTTTTCACTTTTACCAACAATTACACACAAATTTGGGAAGGTTTTTTGTTTTTTTTTTTTTTTTGTTGAAAGGAAAGTGTATTTCGATACGAGTATTTATGTAGACCGTCATTAGCATATTCTAACCAATTTGAGTTTTAACATTTTCTACTACGGTTATATATGTAGAAGGCACCCTCTAACAATAATTACATAATGTCCACACAAAATTTAGAAATCAATTTGTCAGCGAGCTTATCAGCAGTAAGATCAGTAGTAAGATGTCACGGTTCCGAATGCCACACCCCCAAAATGAAAGACATAACAATGCTTCTGATAGGTTATGATCATCTGTAAGAAAGACTTTGTTTTTGCAGGATCTATTGACATTAACAGCTAAATGAAGAGAAATCTCTTCTTTGAAGCGTATAGGTTCGCCTGAAGTGAAATTGAAGCACATCAATCAAAAGAGCGAATGCTTCTATTGATGGTAACTCAAATGATTCGAGTTAAATGTAACGAGTGTTTTTAGACATGTGGACAGGAAAAAAAAGGCATATCATTTAATTTAATAGTCAAGAATTTAACTTTTTTATTAAGATAAGGGTTGCCCATGATGTTTTCAAAATGGTCTCAGCTCGCGACTTCTCAGCTGGTCGACCTCTTTTTGCAGCGATTGGGGCTGTATGTCAACAATAACGCACCGAATAATACTTTCGAAGACGTCAATTGTCGCGGGTTTATCTGCGTAGACAAGTGACTTCATATAATCTTAAAAAAAAATTGTCCAGCTAAGTCGCACTATTTTGGAGATCACGCCGCAGGCTCACGACGCGAGATAATGCTTACACCAAAAGTTTCCTTTAATAAATTGATTATTTCTTTGATATCGATATTTCCGATATAAAAATCCGATTTGTAACAATAACTAAGAAATAGAAATGATGGTTGCAATCTCCAAACTGACATCAAGCGCTTAATACTTTTGAAACATATGTATATTAAAATCGAAAATAAACCTTGCAAACCTTCCTGCTGTGATATAAAAAGAGAAAATGTTAAAAAACACAAATCGAATGCTTTCACCACCGATTTTTTTATATAACTATGGTAGCTTGTTTTCATGTTGATCGAAATTGTTAACGCAATAAGCTGACTTCTTTTAACAATGAAATATTTATATAATTATTATCGATATTTTATCGATAAATTAAATTTTTTAATCGAAATTGTTATCGCAATAAGATATCCGCACAATACTACTAAATCAGTATATAAATATGTTCGATATTTTCGATTTTTATCGATGAATAATTTTCGGAATAAAATAAAATATCGATATTTCAATACTTTTGGTATTTATAACCGCAAGTAGAATAATATGTAGCAATGTTGCATCATCACTTCATTAGGTGAGCATCAGTTTTCCATGACTTTTTTATAGCACTATAAAGCACACCTACAAACGAAGAAATTTTCTTTTAAAGTAGTACAGAAACCCACCAGCAACATTCTTCGCGAGCAACAAGTGCAGTGGGTACAGCAACAAGTTCATGAAACGCTAATTAACAAGCACATTAAAGAAGTCAAAGTAACAAATTCTTTACACGCTATAAAAACAAAATCCGCTAGCAGAAAATGGTGTATGCAACTAGATACATAAACACCATAGGTGGGGGGGGTGTATGTGTGTGTAGCTGGTGAATAAGATCGCCGGCAAGATCGCTTGGCCTCCGAGCGCTATGCAAGCAGAAGTTATCAGCTAGCAGCATGTGTCTGTGTATGCGTGTAAAATAGCAGGTTTTAAGTAAGTCAGTAAGTTGGCAGCGTTGGAATGGTAATTAACACCCAACCGGCGGCAAACTTTCAAAGTATTGCTTCATTTAGGCATCAGCCAGTGGTAGATTTGTATGCTTGTCTAGTTGGTATGCTTGGATGTATGTATGTATGTAAGCAGGCTTTATGAATAGCAAGCGGATTCTTTTCATGGCTGCACGTGTTCGCAGACGCCAAAAAGCTTAGTTAAAGAAGGTCAAAACTTGATCTTCCGGCCACAGTCTGTGCGGCTTATGAAAGCACAATAAAACATTTTAAGAAAGGCACAGCAAGAGTCAAAGAGTGTGTATGAAAGAAAAGAACAAAATTACTATTTGAGATGATGATCTTATATGCACACATTCATACACAGATTTATGTGTATGTTGAAGCTCGAATGCCGGTGCGAAAGTTGGCCGTAAGATCCAAAGTGATTATTGTATTTTTACAGAC